AAAGAAATACCTAACACGTTTAAAAACTGTTCTTTTGTACTGCCGGGGGAGGGGGTGACATAAACATTCATGCATAACTGTGAAAAACGTAAACAGTTTCTCCTAGTGTGGTCCTAAAATGACTTTGCATATCCCGGGAGTATGCATTGCACTCTTAGCAGCATGCCAGGTTATAGTGGCCGTCAGCTGTCCAGGAACCCGTGAGCGTCTGGGTGTGTGTGTTTTTGGATTTTCATCATCACCAACTCTGTTTGGGTGACCCTTGCTCCACTGCGTTTACCTCTGTAGCCTCTGGAGTGTTGCTCTGTTTGATTAACATGTTCCATTCTTGTCCCTGCCCTATGCGCCCCTCGATAGGAGTGTCCACTCTGAGGTTTCTGCCAGGTTCCAGCCTGCCCCTCCTCCCAGCCCCACCACAACCGTTGTCTGGTTCCAGGCTCCCAGAGGCAGTGGCTACCATTTTGGCCTTGAAGAGGGGAGACATCTGGATGTAGCCCTTGCCATGACGGTTGATGTAGAGAAGGTAGATGGGGCCAACGACCCAGAGGTACATGGGGGGCCCCCAGACCCCTGCTGTTTTCAGGAAACATAGGCTCAGTAGGCGGTCAGCGGCAGGCTCAGGCTCCGTCTGGTTCCAGACCTGAGGGAACACCAGGGCGACCCTTATGATGGTACAGCACAGGGGTCCCAAACTCACCGGCGTAGGGGGCCACGCAACATTTTTGAAGCCCTCACATTTGCATGGAAACGTGCCAAGCTCTCTGGCGTACCTTAAAATTCTCAACTCCTTTAATCCTAACAAAAACCCTATGAGGTAGATGCAGTTATCACACTGATTTTGCCGATGAGGAAGCTGAGGCTCAGAGAGGTTGAGGCACTTGGCTGACGACACCCAGCTGGAAAGTGGTGTTACTGGGATTTGAACTCAGGTGGTTGGATCCTGGAGTCTAGGACACCTGGGCTCCGTGACAAGTGCTGGGCACAGACTGGCACTTCATCCTTATAGCAACTATAGGAGGCAGGCGTCACTGACCCCTCCAATTTCACAGACTAGGAAACTGAGAGGGGAACAGCCCCCTTCAGGCCCACACAAATAGAAAGTGGCAGGGGAGACTCCATGCTGGCCTGTCTGACCCCAGCCTTGTTTTCGATCTGTGATTCTAATCTCAGCCCCTCTACTGGCCTTCTCTAACCCTAGAGGAAGTTTGAATATGAAGTTTAACTTCCCTGGTGGTCTGATTATGTCAGTAATTTTGTACCCAAAGCGGTCCATTGTTTTGCATGGAAATTTGTTGTTTTATATTGTAGGCCTGTAATTCTTAGGAAGGACTCACTTAAATCTGTCCAAACAAGAGTCTAGTAGGCATCCCAGGTATGATAAAGTTTGAAACACAAAATCATAAATTATAATATAATAAATAATTATAAAAAATAATATAATTTTATTCAATAATGCAATGAAATAAAAAACACTGCAATTTGTCATCGGCCGGCGTTCTCGTCGGCGATCACAGGAGGACACCGCAGGATCGCAGGGAGCAGATAAGGGACTTCTCTGGGACACTGCAGTGTAATCCGAGTGTGGCTCGGGGTTACTGCTTCTGGCAGTGAAAATTAACCCCGAGCCACACACTTGGGATTACCGCCAGGGTGGTTAACAGCCCCGTAACCCCCTCCCCACTGGTTATCTTTCCTCCTGCCTTTCACCATTCACCATCTGTGTGAACTGCAACCTCCCGGTGCCTCAGTTTCCTTCCCTGCAAAAGGAGGATCATAAGAGAATCGACCTCGAAGGGCTGTATTACATGGGTCAGTACCGGTAAAGCAGGTAGCATGATGCTGGGCACAAAGTGAGTCCTTAATTAACATCAGCTATCATTATTGCCTTTCCTACCTGGCCCCTGAAACCCTCACAGGCCACCCCATAAACCCCACTTCCTAGAGTCCTTTGCCGAGAGCCTGGATGAGAGAGGTGGGCAATCCTGGAGCTGTATGCAAATAGAGGCCAAATTCTCCTGCAGCTGGGAGGCCTGGAGGCACCTTTAACCTTGCTGGGCTCTCTTGGGCACTAGCTTGGTTAAAGGGGTTGCCCTCCCCTGGTGCTCATCTGGCCCGGAATTTGGGAGGGTCTTACCCTCCCCAGTGTCACCACCTGAGAGATCTACCAAGCCCGGAAAAGGAGAATTGGGCGGGCTGGTGGGGGACACTCACCCCCGGTCCCACGCAGGGCTCTCCAGGCGCCGCCATCGGGCGCCCTCTGTCCCCTCTGTCCGTCAGTAGGTCTGTCTGTCAGTCAGTCCCTGGAAGCCTCCTCGCCTGTGCTCCTGGCCTGGGGGGAATAGGCGGGGCCCAGCAGGCCTGGACTGATTCGAGCTCCAGACTGCAAGGCCCAGGGGCAAGGTCCAGCCGGAGCGGTGGGGGTGGGGCCAGAAGGGGTGAAATGAGGTTCAAGGAGGCTCCAGCAGACATGTATCCCCCAGCCCCAGAAGGGGCAGTGGCATCTCTGTATAACCCTTCTGCCCCAGCAAGTGTCACCCCAAACTTCCTGAACACCGTGGACCAGCAATTCTAGAAATGTATCCCCTTGAAAGAACCCAAGTGTGCATGTGCTAAGTGTCCACCAGCCAGAGAGTGTGTGTGTGTGTGTGTGGGGGGGGGCTGTCTGATGAAGCCGCAGTCTCCTCATCGGTGGGGATGGACGTTGTCTGCCTTTCAGATGGTGCAAAGATTTTAAGGTTTCTTTTGAAGAGTTTAGCACAGTGCCGGGCACATGGTAAATGCTCAGTAAGAGCTATTATTAGCATTAGTACTCTCATTTCATTCATAGGTTACTAAGCAGTGGGTCCAAGTGCCAATGAAGAAATACATTCATTTGGAAAGATGGTTGCTCAACGCTAAGTGAAAAAAGATTATAACACAAACTAGGCTATGATAGCTTTTACACAAAGGAAAGAAATACTTGCTTCAGTTGAGGAAAGTGGGGAAGTCAAGTCTAATGTGTCTTCAGCAAGGTGTGTCCCCAGCTGTGAGTTCTTTTTGGAAAAGACTCTACATCACATAAATGCATAAATAAAAAGATGGGACTGCACTAAAGCAGTGATCATGGGAATTCTATTTTCTTTTCCTTTCCTTTTCTATTTTCTTTCCTTCTGTAATGAGCACGGTTCCCTTTCAAGAGAGGAATGACAGGCTCAGCTTGTGCAGACAGACAAGCACAGGTGCAGAGCGTGGGTGCAGAATTAACACCGTCTGCTCTTTCCACACTGCCTTGCTACTTCTCAGGATCTTGATCTCATCATTCCTCCTCCCTCTTGCAGGTCCCCCAAACATGGGTTCCCCTGGCCTTATGGTCTCTTTCTTTTTGTTTCCTACCTGGGTCATCAGGCAGAGTAGGGACACAAGGAACCCAAGGATTTGTCCTGCCATTGAGGGTGGCAGGTTTACTGTTTACATTTAAATTACGTCTGTTTATTTGAGGTGGTTTTGGTGGGGGCTGATGGAAATTATGGGGAGGCTTCAGCCCCTTCTCCCTGTATCCCCCTAATTGCCATTGTCACAGTCCTAGTGCATCCTTTCTTTATATATTTGAAGATGAATTTGAGGGGAATGGTGGAAATTTGAAGGGAATGGTTGGGAAGTTAGGAAGAACATAGAGGAAGTCATTTGGGGTAAGCCCAGAACAGGACTTGGATACCCCATAGTCTACTTTCTACTTTCCATCTCTGTGGACAGCCAAGAACATGGCTCTGTACAGAACCCTAAACAAGTCCTTTTCCCACTCTGGGCCTCGGTTTCTCTCTCTCTCTCTCTCTCTCTTAAGGAGGGTGCAGCTCAAAGTGGCCCATGTGGGGATCGAACTGGCAACCTTGTTGTTCAGGGCACACGCTCTAACCTGAGCCACCTGGCTGCCCTGGGCCTTGGTTTCTCATTCTATAAAATAAGAGTTTTCCATAGGTCAATTTCCCCTATCGGTGGCTTTCAACTCCTTGTGACATGCTAGGACAAATCAGGGATTCATGTTAGGGAAGGTAAAGGGGAAATACATATATTTTTTAAGGGCAAATATTTTAATAGTAGTTATCAATAACAAAAACAATCATTTAAATATTTTCTCTTTATAACTGAACATTTGAGCATCTCACTGTATTTCGAGTGAGAATTCAGACTGAGAAATTGGAATCAAGTACGCTTATAATGGAGACTGTAGCCACTGTGAAGGTGTTGACCCTGTATAGTTTAAGATTGTTGTGGCTCACAGTTACATATTGCTTAAATCTGAGCCACAATGGCAAATTCCAGTGGGAAATTTTCTCTCTTACCCCATTATTTACAAACAAAATATAAAAACTATAAAAAATAAAGCACTTGGTTTTTTTTTAAAGGAGCAAAATAGAATTCTAAATGCCAGGTCAGAAAAAGCAATTCTTGTCTATTTTGATGTGGTGACTTGCAGTTAAATTAAGTCTAAGTTACAGTATAGATTCAACCTTGGAACAAAATACAACATGCTGGTATTTGAACTTATTTTTACACAAATCATGCTTCATCCCACAGAGCTAATTCAAAGTAAATTAAATAAACTGCGTGCCTCTCTTGTGTATGGGGGAGAACCCTCAGAATTTGTTTCTATGAAAATAATATCAGAGCTGGGATTAAAAGACATTGTTAATACTTTTAAAAATGTTATGCTGAACAAAAAAGTAGTTTTTGAGATTATATTATCACCTATGAAATATGGGTCAAAACGACTCGGGAAAGTTGCTGGATACTTCGATCAACTCGCCCTTTGCAGTTTCAGGGATAGTGAGTTCCAAAGTACAATAGAATTCAACTTTGGAGTTTCTGCGTGTACGCATGCGCCTTTCAACGGCACCTGTCAGAGAGTGCTCGGAGTCCTCCAGGCCTCTAGAGGGCAGAAATGGTCTCGTTTTGTTGCTGAGCGTCATCCTTCCTGGGGGCGTGGGCGTGGGGCTGGAGCGAGCATGCGTGGTGGCGGCGGGGCGGGGCCTGCGCTGTCAGCTCTCCGCCGAAGAGGAAGCAGCGGGCGGCGTGCGGTGTGAGGGGCGGGACCGGGAGGCCTGCAGGGGGTCCGGCCATGCGGGTTTGCCGGGGCGCTGGGCCGCCGGGGCCCGTGGTGGTGTCCGCCGCCTTGGTGCTTCTGCTGAGCGGCGTGGGACCTGCGCGCAGCTCCGAGGACATCGTGGTGGGCTGCGGGGGCTTCGTCAAGTCGGACGTGGAGATCAACTACTCGCTCATCGAGGTGAGCGCCCGCCCCGCGCGCGGCCCGGGCCGGAGCACGCTGTGTGACCCTGGGCCAGTCACTCAGCCTCTCTGGGCCACGGTGGCTTCTCTTGACACCCTGCGGCTGCCACCAGCCCCGCATTGTCAGCGTCCTTTCCTCTTTAAAGGCGCCGCTTTCCGCGGGCCCTCCATCGCCCCCTCCTCAGTCGCGCTAGAGTGGGGGTTCTTACCGTGGGCTCAGCCACGGAGCCGGGGTGGGGGCCTGAAGGTACGTGCGCAGCGGTACGAGGGGCATTTCTGGTGATAGTGCTGCATGACTTTTCATCAGATCCCTCAAAACCATGGACCCCCCCCCCCACATCAAAACCCCAGGTCCTTCCTTACAAACCCAAGCTCCAGCTCCTCAGAATCCAGATGCAAGATAATCCAAAAACCCTGATGGTCCCCGGAATCCCGGCCCCAGGTTTCTTAAAACCCAGCCCCCGCAGGACCCAGGCCTTTTGGGACCCTGACCCCAGATCCTCAAAACTCAGACCTCCTGAAGCTCAGATTTCCTGCAACCCCTATTCCAGAAGCTAGAGACCGCGAGTCTTGTTCCCCAAACCCCCACAGCTCAGAGCCCCAAAAGTTCTAATCCAGTGCACCCCGCCTCCAGTGCCCCCTGGATGCTTTTAAAGAGCTGGAATTCCCCGTGGATCTCTGGGGCTGGGAATCGGTACTTGTAATCCCACCCCGCACCCCCACCCCCTCGTCCTTACCCCCTTGGGATTCCTTTTCCTCTGAAAATGGCTGAATCCTCCGCTGCCCTGATGGCCTTACTGGGTAGTTATTGGAATGACACGAGAGATGCGTGCAGAAGTCTTTTTCTGAAAGTTGCAGATCCCTGGTCAGTTAGATAACGATCAGCCCAGTGGGGGGATGACCCAGAAAGCTTTTGCGGAGAGGAAGGGAGGCTGATGGAGGGAGGGATAGAAGGTCGCTTGTCACACGGTGGATGGGCAGGGACCAGAGGGGAGGGCTGGCCTCTGTTTTAGGGGGGTACTGATGATGGGGCAGGAGAAGGGGATTTGAAAGAAAAAAAAAAAAAAGAAAAAGCAACAGGCTCGGTGATGCCAAAGAGAAGGCACTGGGGTCTGAGGCTGTCGGCGCTGCCCCGAAGCATATTTGAGCCTCTCCAGCGCTGGCAGCTGGAGGGCTGCGGTGAAGGGTGAACCCGGTGTGTTCCCCAAAGCAGGTTGCTGAGGTTTGGGGAGCCCTGTAGGAAGGAGAGCCCACACCCCACTAGTTCTTTGACCTGACCTGGCCGTGCGTGCCCCAAGTCCCAATTTCTGTTCCTGTAGGACGTCGCGAGAGAAGCCTCAAAACCCAGTGCCAGCTGTTTCCGAAAGGAGATAATAGTCAGTTACCAGCTTTAAGGCCCCTCTGCCTGTGGCTTCTCCACCATTTTTGATCTGAAGAAGCCGGGTGTTGAGTGACTCTGCCCGCTGGCAGTGGCCGGGCTCCGAGGATCAGCTTGGGTGCCCATGCCACCTCCTGGGTCGCCTCCCCGTGTGTGGGCACAGGCCATTTCGGAGGCTGCCTCGACAGGCCTTTTGTAGCATGTCGTTTCTTGGGGTTCCCGGAGGAAAGGGAAGGCGGCGTGGGGCACCCCCACCCCAAACACTGATCATGACCTTGAGCGCAGAGGGCAGGTTTTGTGACCCAGTAGGAAGCGTGTTCCTTGAGCCCCAGGGCTGCCTGTCCAGATGGCCTGACGCCTTCGTTCTTTCATAATTTCTGGTTATGAAATCAGACATTTCATGTGCGTAATGTATATGGCCGTCCTGTGCCCTGATCTGTGCTTTATGAAAGACAGGTACACAATCGAGATGTTTCGCAATCATTTCTCGATTGTGTTTTCGGTCTTCTAACGAAACTGCCAGCTCTCTTTCCCAGCCTCCTTCCCTTCTGGCGTTCTCCCATCGTAGTCATTCGGCCAGTCGCTGCTAAGTTTGCACCCCTGTATGTACTAAAACTTTCTCCAGGGTGGGAAATAACAGTCCAGGGAACAGAGCAGACGAAAACCCCTGCAAAAGAACAATATTGGTTGCCGATGCTGGAACAGTCAGGAGATTTCATATTAAAAACTGGATTTCCAGCTTCTCTGGAAAACCAGTTGGTTTTCAGGCTGGCGTAGCTAGGCTCAGGTTTGAATAGCGATCTGTCCCCCTTTAGGTGGCTTCCCTGTCCCCTCTCGGCAGGTGAATTTCATTCGCTGCCTTAAGTGTGTGGTTTTCCTTACGGCCTGTGAACAGATTCACGGAGTATTTACTGAGCGCTTCCACGAATCAAGACGCCGTCTCAGGCGCTGCAGAGTGTAAGCCGAGGTCACGCCCATGGGGCACTTGCAGTGTCTTTCTTTCCTAAGCGCACACTGTGTGTTTGTTGCGCTTTACGTCTTCTTAGCTGGTGTGATGCGACTCTGTCCTTCTCGTAGCATGGTTACAGAGCATTACCATCTTAGACGTGAGGCTCGTGGACGTCATCAGATCCAACTGCTCCCTTTGACAGATGTAGAAACTGAGGCTCGGCGTGCTTGAGCCCCATTGGGGAGGTTTAGGGAATTTTCTTTGAATCCAGTCTCTGCCCTGCCGATGACACCACATTGCTTTTTATTTCAGAGAGATGTTAGTAACACAACATAGTAATATAGTAAAATAGTGATAGTAAATAGTAATCTGTACTGTATGTGTGTGTGTGTGTGTGTGTATTTTTTTTTTTGAGGCTATACTCTGTGCCAGGTGCGAAATAAGCATTGATGTGAGTCTGTACAGCCACCCGGAAGGGGAGTGGCTCTCTTATCACCCATGAAGGAACAAATGACCTTAGGAGGGTAAACGACTTGCCCAAGGTCACCCAGTACATGGAAGACCCAGACCCAGACTTCAACTTGAGCATCTTGATGGGTCAACAGTTTGTTTCTGGGGATGATCAAGATGCACGAGTTTGAGAGAGTCCTTGAGGAGAGGACATATATTGAGCGTCTTTTGATATGTTTTTGTCCCGAGAATGAAAATAAAAGAGAAAATTCGCAGTTTCTAGATGAGTGTTACTCCAGGTATCGGGAAACATTTGGGGTTAATGATGCAGCTCCCTGGCCTGACCCCAGCCCTTCTAGTTTAGAAATAGAAGTGGGGTTTGGGAATTGCATTTTAGCAAGCACCTTACTCACAGCAAATCTAAAACCAAGGATCCCCCAGAAACAACATAGAGACAGCTGCTCAAGTAAACTGAAAAGCGTTGAAAATGCTTTGGGGGGGTAGACTTTAGATGGGTTTTAACTTGAAAAATACCAAATCACATTATTTGGGGGATACTTTGCCCTATTTGTCTCTCCCCCTCATGTCCGGTGCTCATAGCAGCTATACCTACGTCCTCGGCAAATGCGTATGGACTGAAATTCATTCGGGTGTAACTTCCGTAGCTATAATAATTCTCAAAGGCGATATCGTGACTTCTCTTTTTCTTTCCTTCCTTTCTAGATAAAGTTGTACACCAAGCACGGGACTTTGAAATACCAGACAGACTGTGCCCCGAACAATGGCTACTTTATGATCCCCTTGTACGATAAAGTAAGAGGAAAAGTACTTTAGCCTTTTACGATGGGAAGTGGTGTGGCCCACGGGGCTGTGCGAACCGGGAGTGTGGCCTTCCCCACCGAGCAAGTGCTCGTCTGTTTTGTAAATGATGAGTGGAATCTGGCTGTTCCGGCCAAATTCAGGGGGAGACAGCGTACAGACGGGTTTGATCCAATACAGTGGTTCTCAGTGTCGTCAGGGACGTTTGGCAGTGTCCGGAGACATTTTTGGTGGTTACAACCGTGGGGGCAGGGAGAGGGGGAGAGTGTGAGAGTTATCTGGTGAGTAGAGGCCAAGAATGAAGCTGAACGTCCCATCCCACTTCACAGGACAGATGAATGTCAGCAGTGCCAGCGCCGAGAAACCCTGATGCAATAACACCCTGTATTTGCAAGCAGCTTAAAATATATTTTTTAAATTATATAAGTGATATGTGAATTCATGAGCTTTATGGAAAAGAAAATATCAAGGTCTTTAGAAGTGTAAGAAGTGCATTTTATCTTGTACTCCCCAGGTCCCCCACCTTTTGTAGTGATAGCCTCTGATAAAAGTTTTGCTGTGTATCCTAACGGACCGCTTTCTCTGTATTTTTAGTTGCGCAGGTATCCATGAATATCCATGCAAATACACGTGTGCAGACACACACACACGCATGGGTACCTGCGTGGGGGTTCATGCGTAGCCATACTTCTACCCCCATCCTCCCCACATTACAACTTTATATTTGGAAATAGAGATTGACAGGAAGTGGCAAAAATAGTCGTATACATAGTTTTGATTTTGAGTTAAAAAAACACAAATGGAATCAAATAATAGGAATTATTCTGCAATTTGGTTTTTCCCTGTGGTAGTATCTTGGCATGCTTTCGACATCAGCACGTACAGACGTACTGCCTTCTTTGTAATGGCTGCAGAGCATGTCAGAATCAGACCCAAAATGTCATGGATAGATAGAGGCTTTCCCCAATTTTAAAAATTATTAAT